TTGTTGAATTGAGCCACCGCGCACATCAAGGAATTAGCAAGGCAAAGCATTTTCTACGGACATTCTGCTGGTTCCCTGGGATGGACAAGGCCGTCGAAAACCAGGTACGAGGATGCTTACCGTGCCAAGCTGTCCAACCACCAAATAACGACCAGCCAATCAAACCGTCGGAGCTACCAATTGGCCCATGGCAGTATGTGGAAATGGACTTCCAAGGCCCTTACCCCAACGGCGAATATATATTCATCATGATTGATCGTTACAGTCGATGGCCGGAGATGGCCTGGTTCCGAAACGCACCTAATGCGAACACCACAATCGCAGCCATGGAGAAGATATTCACCAACAAAGGTGTTCCAGCGGTATGCCAGTCGGACAATGGCTCGCCTTTCCAGTCAAAAGAGATGGAACAGTTTGCCCAAAGCAGTGGATACCGCCATCACCACATTACTCCGGAATGGCCCAGAGCAAACGGAACAGTTGAGCGATTTAATCGGAGTATGAAAGAAGCCCTGCAGGCAGCAACCCTGGAAGGGAAACCCCTGAGAGACGCATCACAAAGATTCCTGCAGATGTACCGATCTACCCCACACAGCGCGACTGGGGTCAGCCCGCATGCTGCATTGCATGGCGGAAGAGAAATGAGAACAGTACTTCCACTTATGACACCAACCGACCATGTCATAGACCGTATACGAGACCAACGATACAAAGCCAAGATGAGAAACGGACTGCGGCCACATAAACTTCGGGTAGGTGACAGTGTTATTGTGAAGCAGACGAAAGTCAACAAGCTGACGCCGACATTCAACCCTACACCTCTGAGAATCACCGAGGTTCAAGGCTCGAGAATAACTGCACGGGAGATAAACGGCACGTGGACCATCACGAGGGACGCGTCGTACTTCCGGAAGATTGCATCCGATACGCGGGCAGAAAACGAAGATGACCAGGACGCATCAGACGAGAGTGACGGAGAGACGGAGAACGAAAACAGGGGGAACCAACAGGAAACGCCGGATGAAAGCACTGAGAAAGGGCAAAGACCACGACGGACAACACGGAGGCCAAGTTATTTAGAAGACTACGAAACTTAAGGGGGGTTGGACTATTATTGTAGTTGGGGAGAGATGTTATATGTTGTGTTACATTTGTTTATATTACGATCGGACTGTTATCGGGACAAATCACCTTTCGGTGTATGGGATTTAAGATAAAAAGACAACAACAGTTGTTTTGAATACGGACTCGATATAGAGTAAAATATAGTTTGTAAACGGGTTGTTTTAAGTAAATAAAGTATCCAAGAGTTTAGTACAACACTAATATCACCTTTATGACAGAATAGAATATGAAGATCGTTTCCACCCTTTTCAGCATGCAAGCGAAGCTGAATAATATGATTAAATAGAAGCTTAGGTCTAAGTTCTCCACAATCAGGGTAATATGTGATGATATTTCTACGTAAAACAGAAGAAAGACCCAAAATACAGAGAAATTATGACCATTTACCAGCATTACAATTTAAAATGGCCTCCTGCTTGATATAACCTGTATCTTTGGTCTCCATAGAGACAGACAAGGGCAAAAGATTGTTAAGACTTTTGCCAAAGCATTGAGGGTGCTCATCAATGACAGACAAAAAGCAGGGATGATCGCAGTAAAACTGAGCGTTCATGAAATGCTCAAGTGATGTCAAAATTCCCACACTGCACAAAGTATTGTCACCTTCCAATAACAAAGAAACAGAGCTATAAAGGCAATGCCCCAAAGCTTCTGATCTAAGAAAACAGACAAAATATTAAATTAAATTCTAGATTTAAATTGCTTAATTTCAACCTAAATTAATACAATAACATGCAATATATTGAATATAACATTAAATATTTATGATAACATTATAACAAATCATACTATAATAAATTATATTTTGTACACTTTGACCACAACTATTAGTCACTTATAAATATGATTATACTGCCTAAAACGAAATAAAATCGACATATCACATTAAATTTACCTTATTGCAGTACATGACTTGTCCTTTCGATCTTGCACACTCTTCGGAATATAGATTTTGGCCCCAATATTTCAACTCAAACTGTAGTTTGTGCTGCTCATGGTGTCTAACAACTGCTCAAGCGAACTCTCAGATATAGCATCAATATTTTCCCATAAATCATCCGAACAATCCATAGATATCTTATATACACTAGATAGCGCATCTCTTTTATTAAAATTGAAGGTAAGAATATTCCAGCGGTTACCCCCATTTGAATAGATGGCGGCCATATTGGTCGTTCCCACTTGCTAATAAACACTTAAAAACAAGAATAACTTTCATCATTTGAATTGTTTAAAAATGTACTTGGAATAGGTTTAACTTAATGTTTAAATTCCTTTTTTAAGAAATAGAAAAAAAATGAATCTTCTCATTTCATGGGAACAACCTGAGACTGCAATCACAGCTTCAATTATTGAATTGCAGAATAATTAGATGCACTATCTAGTGTATATAAGATATCTATGGAACAATCTTGTAAGACAGCTAAATAGTTCACTGCAAATGTGCATTTAACCGTTTCGTAAATACTACAAGTAGCAAATATTTCTGAAATCTTTCAAGTGTAGTTTCAACAAAGCTCCAACATGAGCAAGCGCTCAGAAAGACCTTATATAGCACACGTGAAATATTAATGATAACTAATGGGCGCCCCTGACTTTGATAAATCGGTCAGAACTCAATTGATTCCAATTGCTGGATCATACTTGGTTCGATCGAAAAGGGTGTGGAATGTTCTGCCAAAGGAAATATGAAGGAACACAATGTCTCTGTCTTCCTTCAAACACTTGTTGAAGGAATATTACCAGAGTGCTTTAAAATCAACTTATGACTCTGAAGATGCACAGACATGGAAGTCAATTTGTGTTAAGTGTGGCTCTCCCGCAGTCTTCTGTCTCTTCCTATGTGCTGTTTTAATGTCTGTATGTCTTTATAAAAAGATACGTTTACGCGCTGCGATTTTTCGTGTGCGGTTTGTATTTTGGCGTATTAAAATGAGTGCTGGTGCCATAATTCATAAATTACAAATGTAGCCAGCTTACGCATGTTTATCATATGACATACGCCAGAGGGTGAATCGTACGCGGTTGATCGCGGTGTGTAAACGTAGCTTTAATGTTGTTAATGTCTGTATATGTTTGTATGTTTTGTTGGTAATTGTAATCGTTATTTATTGGTAGTTGATATTAAACTTGATGTATCATAATGGATCCGCAGTAAATGGCCGTAGCTGTTGCGGTTTCCAAGCCTGCATGTTGAGGCAAAGTGTAATAAATTATAAATTATTATAAATTAGAACTCCCCACAGATCCGTCAAAATCGGAAAAAATTGCTTGTTCCCATCGAAATAAGCATTTAGACGAATCAGAACACTGGATTTTGACTTTTTGACTGACCAACGTGTTGCGTATGTCAGCTGCTCATTGACTTGATTAAGCTTGTCGGCTTTATACCTAAAAGTATAATTTTATTTGTTTGCCTATATGCTGGATATATAATGCATTAAACTATGTAAAATGACCATGCAGCTTCTTGCCGGAAGATGTTATTGAACAATAACTCCTCTGATACTTTGTTGTATGATTGCTTGGAACATGAGTATTACAAGTAGAGGTGCGCATGTGTGTGTGTGTGATGGGTTGACATGTTTTACCATTTTCTTCACCAAACACAACTTCAATCGAATCAACAGCAATGATGTTATTACCACTAACATATTGGAGAATAACACTTACTAGGTTGTCGTTAAGGTATTTAACAAACCACTTAAAATGAGAGAAGCAATCTTTTTTTGGCATTGGTGGCTGGATTTGAGGTCAAGAACTTGCAAACCTTTTTTTTACGTGTGCTTTTTAGCTTCATAAAAGCTCACCAAGCTATCGACAGTTTTAAATTCTTTAAAATGTGTAAGTTTGTTCACGATCAGAGACCAGGCATATTAGCTACATACTTTGGATGCTGTATTATTTCGTGTTGTGCTAATTCTTCAACGAAAAATCCAACAAACAGAAAGTCATCCTCTTGGCTGGGTGGATGGAAATGGGCCCTGATACAACTTGCAGCACAAGATGGCAAAACTACACAAATTGTCTTTTCCGATGACTCCCTAACACCACCTAACTGTCTATAGGCCACATGTCAATTAATTTTATGTTCTGGTCATTCCACAACATCTGTTCCATACTGTTTGTTTGTATTCGAACCAGGCAACTTGCAAAACCCAATGATTTAAACAAACTGCTTGAAATGCAGAGTTAGTTGTGATGCATGGATAGGGTGCTTGTGGCTTCTCATGTTTATACACTTCAGCATTTTTATTTAAAACTCCGCAGAGACACTCCAGACTGACAGACTTCCCTGTCCATTATTTGGCAGCTCTCACATGTACACCTAAGTAAATAAATATGATTTGCTTTAAGTTTTAAACAAATGTGTTTGAAAGGAATGACCATGATTATTACGACTCGATAGTTGACCAGAAACACGAATTTCACAATAACTTACCAGTTCAAGTTGCCTAGACGGACAGATACACTTTGATCTGTGTCACTGTGTATTTTCGCTATCTGCCTCAATTGATTGAGATGTGTATGAATCTTGTTTCGGTTGGAATTGATATCCCTGAATGCCATCAGCAAGTTGGTGATTCAAGAAGAAATCTAGATCTTCACTCGATGAACTGCAGTCACTAGAACTAGAAAAATTGATGTCTTTCAACGGAATTTTTGCCATGCTTATTGATATTTGTGAAAAAATGTGGCATTTCGAAAAACACCCAGTGACGTCATTTTTTGAGAAACTGCTGGCCTTACCTGTCTGCTTGAGAAAGACAACATGGCGCTTCATTCTACAAGGGATTTTACAAACTTCGATAAGCAATTTCTTCTTATCTAAAAAGAATTGTCCTTTCAAACTTTGCAAGTAACCTAATGTAAGTAAAGTCTCTTGTTTGCACCTCAATATATTTTTAGTGGAGTGTTCCTTTAATTTACTACTGTAAAATGTTATCCTCTTTAAATAAGCCTATATATAAGCTTATTTAAAGAGGATAACATATTACAGTAGTAAATGAATATATTGAGAACTTCATGGCCCTCACTATACTAAACTGAACTACAATTTCCAATTTAGTTAATAGTTATAAGACAATTTAAAAGTTATAACTTACACATTCAAGATTATGGTGGTCTTCTGATCATTTAATTAGGATTTGTATAAATTCAATACTTTCCCATTCTATAATTGTTCTAACCGTAAAAGTGCATCCTGAACCAGCATGAACCATCTAGCCAAATAATGCAGAACAACCAGAGCCAAATGGACAGGGAAGAATTCTTTCTTTTACAAGGTAAATGGCTTCCTAATTAGACAGAATTTAACTCCTTAATTAACATTGATATAATAATAAAAAAACGTTGCTGGATTGGTTCACCAAGGACCACAGCAATTTGACTTGTCTCTCTGGGCTGGACTTGTCTCTCTGGTGGACTCGATTTGTTTAGTACTTTATATTATCTACTAGAAAATACATGCATGCAGAAACCCTCGCCTTGCTGACAAAACCATTGTATTTTCCGAACATGAAGTTCTAAAGTAGTTGTCATGGTAACACAATAATTTTTTAAGAATATTCTTACAAATGAAAAATCGCCTAAAAATATCACTTTTAATTATAAAATTATTAATTTCCCAACATAAATATATGTTAGGTATGTTTTTATACGTAATATAAGCCTCAATTTAAGGTAAAATTCAACCACAAACGCTTCGCAAAACGTTTTAAAGTCACTAGTGTTCATTATAAAACTAAACTGCCTTTTAAAATGGCTTTATCGATAAACTTTGAGTTAGCAATAAAATGATTTCAAATTCTGGCTTGCAAACAACTCAGTGCTTTCTTTTTTATTTAGAAATTCAATATCATAAAAAAGGGAATCAATATTAAAGATACACTAAAATTATATGCTGTTTGTTTAGTTGTTTCATATACGCAAAGGCCGTCGGGTTTTAAAGCCATTATAAAATCAATATTTAAAACAAACTTACCTTCATTAACGTCGGCTCCCTTCTTTTAGACGATTCTTTCGCAGTTTAGTTTTGAGAGAGCTTTTGAAATTTACAAAATCTTGCAAAAATGCGAGTAAAAATGAAATATATTTGCAAGAAATTTATCAACCATCAAATCAAGAAATGTTTGCTATTTCGCTGTCGTGATACATTCGTGCCAGTCGTTATAATGCAAAATTTAAATTGGACCAATCAGTGTCCGCTATTCATGACAGTCCGCCATATTTTTGAGATCAGTGAGGATGACCACCCATTGTTGGTCACCCACGCCCGCGATATTTGATGAACTTTAGACTCCGCTAATGCTTTCGTTTCCCCGGGTGTAAATAGCCGGGGGGAATTAGTACCCTCGCACGGCGCTTTGCGCCGTCGGCTCGGGGACTAGAAATACATGCATGCAATGACCCCTATATTTTCCAAACATTGTTTCAACATGAAGTATTCACCAACACTGAACACAGGCTTGCATTGTGATGTCATGGCAACACAATAATTGTTTTTTTAACTTTTTGTACAAACCTGCAAAAAATAGATGAAACTTGAACACTTTTAGATACAGGACTGTCAATGGACCTTTCCCCTTATAACTAAAATTTTGATCTAGGCGAGTCTAGACAAAAATTTCATCACAGCTTGAAAGAGCATCACAAAATTAGTAATATTCCGAAGTTTCGTTGCGAAATGTTGTAAAATGCGGATAATATAACCCTGCGAAATTTGCAATTTTCAGTCATTTTGTATTACAAATGGGAAATTGATGCCCCAACACCCAATTGGGCTGTCAATTTCCCATGTGTAATACAAAAACGGCAAATTTTGCAAAGCTACATTATCCGCATTTTACAACATTTCGCAACGAAATTTTTAAGGCAACGTTTAAGGGCCCATGATAGAACACGCTTCTTCATTGGAATGCAGCAGGTGTGGATCCAGCCTCTCAATCTGACCGTAGCATAACTGGCGTGGCCAAAGGCCACATCTAGCGGGCTGCAGGGGCACACTCCCCCAGAAAATTTTTGAAATTTGAATCCCCGGAAATGCTGTTTCCTGTGTTTTGAGCAGCAGATTCTGTCCAAAAATTTGGCCTTAACCAGGTCATATTTTAGACAAAACGTAACAAAAATACACACAATAACTGATAAATGTTCTAACATACCTTGTTCTCCAGTGAATAATACAAAATCAGAGGACAATCGCCTTACACTTACTCACATACGATCATAACTCCGGACTATGTCTGATGCAAATTGCACACACTGTTCCATATTTGTATTACAGATTCAGCTGTATTTCAGGCGATTGGCATCAGTGTTCAAGTTTCTACACCAGTACATGGCCAGAAATACGCGACATGCAATTGCGCAATCCACGGGTTGATCTGCCAAAATGGCGTAGTTTGTATAGAGTGACTAAGGAGTGAGGTCAATTTCCTTAAATTATAACGGTAAAACGAGTAAAATTCAAAAAAATGAAAGTTGTTTCTAGTCAATGACATGTTTACGAATAACGAGAGCTAAAAATTATACTGTCTGCATGCAGAAAAATTTGTCACCGAGACTTTTTATAAAAAGCGACCGATCGATATAGACTAGTTAACAGCAAGTATCGATCAGAGCATAATTCCATAAAAAAATGTCCATTTGTGAACTCAGGCAACACAAGTTTCGACAAACGAAAGTGGTTCGAGCAATTCAATGTTATTGCGACTTCGTCTACGATAAAAGCTGATAATCATACCTTATTTTCGTTTGTCCCAGCAATATATACTTTCAGCATAAAATAGGGCTTGAATGTGTTGAAAAGTGCTTCGGTGAGTATAAAAAAGCCATAAGTTTCTGAGTTTTGCCGATTTCAACCATGAAACTATCATTTTGAAGCTTTCGTTCTGGTCTCGAATAATAACAACGTGCAAAGTCTTTTAGCGCATGCCCAATGCATCTAAATACTGCTGAAATAGCATCTCTTCATAAGATTGCATAAGAATATGAACCCGCATCCACAAGAATTTCAGCGGTCATTATCATGGACGCACGAACTTTGATGAACGCGCGCAATTTAATATTATGAAAAACGATATCCTAGCGTTATAACCACTTGTTTATGTCTACCAACAAGCGCAAATTTGCCTCGAAAATAACTTTTAATAGCAACGACGTTGATCACGCTGCACAATTATTGAGCGATAAAGCAGAACTAGTTTTGGAAATCCCTCAGGAGATATTGATACACTGGCATAGTCTGAAAGGAAAGGCTTCAAAGGGTGACCTCACTGAATGTAAAAATGTAAATTTTGTAACTAGTATTCCAGAGCTTCCATTCAAGGTTTTACGAAATTCTTGCCTGGAGAAGAGAATCGCTGATTTAGCTTGGCTTGCCAAAAGGGAAACCCATGGAAAAAGCGGTAGGAAGAAACAAGAGCTTTTAGCGAAAAAACGCTGTAAAAATATGTCAGGCGGACATTGATCGACAAAATGATTGTGTTATTCGTGTAGCAGTACTTGAACAACAACATGCTGATGTCGATCTTGATAATCGATGCTCTGAACTATTTTCTCAATTAACTGAAGCAAGAGAAAAACTACAGAATGTTGATTCTCGGTTAAATTCGTGCGAAGCAGAGAGAGATTTACTGAAGAGAATGCTACCCTGGCAAGTCAAATAAAGCACATTGAAGACCTCAATGTCTGCCGAAATTGTGGTCCACTCGAAAATTCATCGAAACCATTAACAGCTGTTGGAACTAGACAGCATCAGAGAAAAATTAAAGAACTAAAAACAAAAGCTGAAAAAGCATTGTGGTTCTTGGATTCATATGGTGTTACCTTGGACACTTTTTCAGTTGAAGATTCAAATGGTGAACAGGTTGATTTGAAAGTAAAATCCAGAAGGGAATGGTTGCAAGATTTCAAAATTTGAAGCTTTGCCAGAAAAGCAAAAAACCAGGGTCCAAGAAGTCCTGCATATTCTAGACAGGTTTTGTGTTGGCGATGCTGCTTATCATGCACTCTCTGTGCTAGAAAGTGGTCTACCAAGAAGCTACATGTTGAAGCAGTGTAGGGGTGACATAAATGGAATTTTTGAACTTTTGTCATAACAAGAACCCTTGGTGATCTGATTGGGGCCCAAATGAGTTTTAAGGATGAAATTCGAAGGAAAATTAAGGAAAAGGTTGGTATATGGACAATGTACTAAAATGATCTTATTATAATTATAATAATACAGTAGTATTGAATATATCTTATACACCAGTCAATGCATATCTCCGCTCCCCCCAACCGGGGAGTGGCAGGGTATTTGACTTTGAGGGGTGAAACAAGGAAAGAAATATTATTGACCTCCCCTCCACCCACCCCCCCTCCGCCACTCCTAACAGTATGTGACTATTTGTGTGTAAATTGAGTATAATAATAGCTGGAAACTGGCCATATTGAAATAATGATAATCAATTAGGTTTATGTTTCCTAGGTGGATGCTGGACAATACAGTACCCAAAAGATTAAAATCTCTGGCGATGGAGCAAGCATTTCAAGAATATCAAATTATATTGTCATGTCCTTTTCCATTTTGTCAGACAAAGAGATGTTATGTCACCCAAAGGTTTGTTAATTAAATGTATTATGTATTTAAAGGGACAAGGTAACATTACTTACCACCCACTGTTCATCCACTGCTTTTATATAGACCAGGGCCAGCAAGACAGGGGTAGGGTGAAAAACTCACACCCGGAATGTCCAGAGGGGTGTGGAATCTCTGTAAAATGCTTGCATAGTTTATCACGGCTTTATATTTACAATAAATGAAGTATGATAGAGTTGGAGGAGTGTTTACCAAATTGGCCCCAGCCAGTGGTCGGCTCTCAAGCCTTGATTTAGATATTTATTAACCCATTACATGCAAGTGACCATATTTTGATTGCAACTTCATAACATCACTAAATTTGTTATAGGAAACCATGGATTTGCAATATTGTGTGGCAAAGAATGCTATGAAAGTATGGAAGAATCATTTAAGGAGGTGTTTGGAGAGATAAACAAGCTTATCTCAGAGGGGGAAATTGATGTTGAGGGGGAAATTGATGTTGAGGGAGAAAAGATTCAGCTGGAATTTTTTCTTGGTGGTGACTATAAGGTAGTATTATGTCACAAATTTATTAATAACAATGAAATCATGTACAGTGCAGTAACTGTTATATTTGCCATATCAATATTCTCTCAGCTGAAGAGAATAAAAATGCCCACAATCTTCTCCTGCATATAATTTAACAAGTTGAGATCATTATTGAGAAGCTGTTGTGATTAGTCCTTAGGCCAATTGTACAATACATTGTTTTGTAATATACAAAATATGCTTTTATTTTGTAGTTCTTGCTGGCAATACTTGGAAATGAATGCTGCTAATTCAATATTTGCATGCATTTATTGTAAAATTCCTAAACAATTAAGGTATAAATTGACTGTGTTTTGTATGTTGTATTGATGTAAAAGACTTACAAATTCACAACGCCGGTGAGAGGAGGGGCAGGGATGGCCAGAGTGTTAATAGGCTCCAGGAAATCCATGGTATGCCATCAGCTTGAGGTCAATGGGGCTAGGGGTCTGTGTTCATCAATTTGTCCCAGGCCCCATGGTTGGTTCTTGCTGGCTTTACAAAAAGATTTATTTTGCTTTTCATTATATTCATTTTTAGGTGGGACATGTCAAAGGTAGAAGATTACTACTGGAATGATGAGATGTGAAGAACACTTGAAGACATAGTGCTGTGTTGTACAAAGAAGAAGGACAACTTTGGTTGTATTTTGCCTCCATTGTTGAATATAAAGCTGAATAATGTTAGGGTTGATGAGCTCCACCTTTTACTAAGAATAACAGGTATGTACAAATACTACACATCTATTTTTTGCAAATTTGGTTGAAATAGACAGTAGACATGTAGTACTGTACATTTATTTTTTACAATTATGTAATATTTCCAGATGTCCTGGAAAAGAACATTATCATCAACACAGTGCAATGGGACCTCAGCGACAACAAGGATAAACGAGGAAAAGATCCCAAAGGAGTTCACTTAACCACCCATGTTAAAGCCATCAACGAGTGTGGAATTCCTTTCAAGGTGTGGGAGAAACCCGATAATAATGGGAAAAAGACCAGCAGATATGATTGGAGAAGTTTGGTGGGACAGGAGAAGAAATTGCTTGAGGAATTGCCCAAAAAATTTGCCCAAGTGTTGCGACCGGACATATGCGACACAGTGACAAAAATATGGAAGGTAGGTTTCCAGCAAAAACTATGCAGTAGTGGTCTCTACATGCGCCCTCGTCACAAACAGAACAATTTTTTTTAACTAGGCTATGTACTGTATGATGACATCTCACTTTTTTACACATTTGCAGGATTTTGGAAAGTTGTACAAAACTGTAACACATTGGGCACCAACAAGGGAAGAGCAGGAATCTTTTTTCAAGCAGGTAATACTCCTGTTGTAATGCTGTATGACTCATATCTAGATGCAAAGTCTGAAGTAGATGACTTAACTGTCATCTATAATTATGTTATTCCAACAATCCTAACCCCTAGACAAGTACTAAAAAGTCTTTGGCTAAAATGTTTAATATGAAAGGCAGCTGCCACAATATGGCAGATGATTGGATTAATGTCTTTCTCAGTTTGAAAGACAAGCAAGATGGATACAGCAAAGAAAATGTAACACCCTATGTGCACATGCTGGTCTATCATGTCCCAAGGTTCTTGTCAGATGTTGATGGGATGAAGATTTTCACAGGTCAAGGTGTTGAAAGGACTAATGTGGTACGGTCAATCTACGACAAGAAGTGTAACAAACATGACGCCTTGCCTGTAAGGATTCGCTGCTGGCCCTTAAACGTCTGGACCACCTTGCAGACTATCAAGTGCAACCAAATACCTACTTGAAACAAAATGATGACTATTGGACAAAAACTGTATTTGATGATCGAAGAAAACGTCCACGTCTAAGCAGACCATTGTAAGTTTTGTCATTTTTGCAATTATGAACTGTTGGGCAAAGTTTAACTTATTAACTAGTAATAGTTTTTACTGTCTGATTACAAGAAAATAACATTGTGGGTTGCAGGAAATTTAAATTAAAAAGGAAAGTCGTGAATCGTGCAAACGAGTATTACAGCTTGAACAGGCAAACCTAGGCAGCTTTTGCATATTTTAGTGCTGACTTCTGAATTCTCCTGCAAGGGCATGGATATGGAACCTTTCAAAAATAGAATTGATATTATATTAGATATTTAAATTACCCGTATGTCTAAACTAATCATCAGTAGGTTATTTTGAATTGGTAAAAATAACCTGCTGGTGATCGATTCAGCTTAATTTGAAAACATGAAAAATATGCAAAAGAGGCCATGTTTGCCTGTTCGAGCTGTAATTTCTTTTCTACATATGAGCGCTGAATTAAAAGTTGGTATTATACCACAGTACTGTACAGCTAGTTGATGATGATATTTTAAAAGAATGTAATATATCTGGCTCATTCAAGACTTTCTTTTGAGCATGGATCTTTAGTTATATAAAAATTAACCATTTCAAATAAGTAAGTAGGTGCCTGAACCAAGACACCACTGTTGTTTAGTACATAATCCTTTGTTGATCTTTTTAGGACCGGTTTAGCTCTCACAGGAAACTCTATGGAATGACCTTCACCATGCTTGTTTAGTGAATAGTGCCATGAGAAAGGAAGCATCATCCTCTCAAAGTCATTTTTTGAAAACAAAGTAGCTCCAGGTAGATTTGATGGTAATCCTTTGTCCCAGAAGATATATCGGTATATATCATGGTCAAATTCTATTGAGAACTTTGGGTCCAACGTTTTGCATTTCAAATGTCTTTTTACAGCATTTCAAATGTCTTTTTACAGCATTTAAAAACTTTAGGGCCACTGCCTCAAGCCTCTTCCCATCAATATCTGGACTGTCATACAAAGCTCTAAAAGTAGTTAGAAAAAATATTTAGAATATCAGAATGTTTTATTTCAGACAATATCATTGTAATATCAGAAAGTTGTATTATAGACAATATGTATCATTCAACAAAGGGTCTTCATCAAGAAATTTGTGTTCTATTTTTCAGGTAGTGAATAGTACTGGCACCTCGCAAGATAATATTGTTTTTCTACAAGTAGTCATTTTTGCAACACACACAACACAAAACTTTATAATCTCCTTTTACCCTCAAACTATTCCTAGTGCTTTTGTGTAACTTGTATATAATAACTTGTAGCAAAACAACTGGTCACAGTTTAACATAAACTTTGGCTTGATTAACTAAGGGGTTGTTCAGACTGGGTGACCTGCACTAGTGCCCAGGCATCGGGAACAAACAATGTTCAAACTGGTTCCGAAAGCATGGTGCCACCAGTATATTGGGCACTACCCCTGGAGGTAGTGCTGGTTTTCAGGCACCATACTCAAATTCTTAGCAAGTATACAATGTTCAGACTGGTGCTGGGCACCAAGACTGAACGACCCCTAATACAAATATACATAAAACTTATAGCTAAAGTTGTATTAGTCCAGACATGCATGATGCATCATATTGCTGTAGACTGAATCACTGAACACAAGTGCATGGTTTTTACTGTTTTAAGGTAAAATAATAAAATAATACAGACATGCATCATATCGATGTAGCCCAACATAATTGGTTTTATTACTTTAACTCCTTTGAGGCATATAAAAGTTTGCATATCTTAATATTGGTTCAGGAATGTTTTTTCTTGGCTCCCAAGTGCAGTTTGCCATATTATATCCTGCCCATTTTATAAGGAATTCCATGCTCTACAATGTTGTAAATAAAATACCAACTGTATCAAAGGATTGATATATATCAAACATGAAGCAATACCTCTCCACTTCCTCGCGAAGATATAATCCGTTCTACTTGATATAATCCGGGCAAGCATGGTCTGTAAAATTCTCTACCCTCCTTCAAATCGATCTTTTCATCCAAGTACAATCCTTCGCACACTTTTTCCTTTGCTTGTCTAGTGTAGCACTTTCTTTTCGAATTCGCCATGTTTTCTCGAAGGCATGCTCAGATCCTGCGTATTACGCACGCGCCCTAGGTAATCTGCTGACACAACGCTTGGCACGTGTGTACTCAAATGTCGCATATTTCTGGCCATGAATTATAAAGCTTCCTGGTGTAGAAAAACTCCCCATTCGGACTGAGTGCATTGTTCACATTTCCTTGTTTCAGTTACTCCGTAGGTCTTTTAAGAGGTGGGGTTTCCAACCCAGTAACCAACCCTCCTCCTTTTTCATCCGAGCTTGGGACCGGCAATGGTGGAGTGAGGGAGCATCTTGCAACAAAGGGCGTAATTAGGGAAAATAGCACAGGGTCAGTAAGGAACATTTTCCACTGCAAATCTTCTTGATAACAGCAGGACAAAGATGGTTAAATAAATGTTCACTGGTACCGTACATCATCTTGAAACAGCAACACAAAGGAAGGTAGGAAAATGTAATTGTTCACCCTTATAACTCATCTTAAAACAGTAGCATAACGGCAGCTTGCGGCAGAAACGAAATGTCCATTGTAAGTCATTTTGAAACAGCAGCACAAAGGAAGTTAAGTAAATGTTCACTGTAAATCATCTTGAAACAGCAGCACAAAGGAAGTTAAGTAAATGTTCACTGTAAATCATCTTGAAACAGCAGCACGAAGGAAGTTAAGAAAATGTTCACTGCAAATCATCTTCAAACAGCAGCAAAAAGGAAGGTAAGTAAATGTTCACTGTAAATCATCTTGAAACAGCAGCACGAAGGAAGTTAAGTAAATGTGCACTGTAAATCATCTTGAAACAGCAGCAGAAAGGAAGGTAGGAAAATGTAATTGTTCACCCTTAAAACTTATCTTAAAACAGTAGCATAACGGCAGCTTGCGGCAGAAACAAAGTGTCCATTGTAAGTCATTTTGAAACAGCAGCACGAAGGAAGTTAAGTAAATGTTCACTGTAAATCATCTTGAAACAGCAGCACAAAGGAAGTTAAGTAAATGTTCACTGTAAATCATCTTGAAACAGCAGCACGAAGGAAGTTAAGAAAATGTTCACTGCAAATCATCTTCAAACAGCAGCAAAAAGGAAGGTAAGTAAATGTTCACTGTAAATCATCTTGAAACAGCAGCACGAAGGAAGTTAAGTAAATGTGCACTGTAAATCATCTTGAAACAGCAGCACAAAGGAAGGTAGGAAAATGTAATTGTTCACCCTTAAAACTTATCTTAAAACAGTAGCATAACGGCAGCTTGCGGCAGAAACAAAGTGTCCATTGTAAGTCATTTTGAAACAGCAGCACGAAGGAAGTTAAGTAAATGTTCACTGTAAATCATCTTGAAACAGCAGCACAAAGGAAGTTAAGAAAATGTTCACTGTAAATCATCTTGAAACAGCAGCAAAAAGGAAGGTAAGTAAATGTTCACTGTAAATCATCTTGAAACAACAGCAAAAAGGAAGTTAAGTAAATGTTCACTGTAAATCATCTTGAAACAGCAGCAGGAAGGAAGTTAGTAGATGTTCACTGTAAATCATCTTGAAATAGCAGCAAAAAGGAAATTAAGTAAATGGTCACTGTAAGTTGTCTTGAAATAGTATAGTTTAAAACAAGTTCGAGAAATACTGACTTTTAAATCAAGTTGAAATTGATGTACAGCACGACAGCATTTGAAACATTTTCACCTGTAAATCACAAGTGTCCTAGATTAATTGCAATGTAGAGGTTGTGAATCAAAATAGTTTTAGCATCATTCATTGTGGTTGTTTGATTGCAAATTCGTCAATAATTTCCTTGGTATCCAATGGAATTTTCCTTCGGATGTGAACATAGCAGTCTTGCATGGTTCGTGCAAATTGCATTGCATTTGCATGAGAGTATAAATATGGGCCCATTAATGTAATTAGGCATTAGGTGAAGCACTACCCTGGCAGCAAGCATACACTTATTTTTTCACTGAGGAATGTCTACCAAAAGTTCGTCTCAAAACCCTTCGAATGATACAGAGTCTACTACTGCAGCAATCTTTGAACAGTTCAAAGTTTATTTCGATCAAAAGCTTGAGAATTTGTCATCTGGCTTTAAGGCAACGTCAGAATCACAAGCTCAAAAGCTACAACGGCAAGCCGAAGGTGCCAATTTGAAATTTCCCGGCAACCGCAACCAATTTTTATTCGACAACCAAGTGCAAGATCTCTTGAACGAAACGAGGAGCGTCTTGCAAAAGGGCGATACAGATTCAGTTTTGAAATCAATTGACAATGCTACCAAGCTTATAACTCAGAGACAAAGAAGATCAAGTTAGCCGACAAAAGCAAAACGGGTTGGTTGGCCATTAAGGAATATGAAGCAGATGACCTGGCAAGCGACAGCGATGATGAGAAACGTATTCGAAAAGCTAAGGTTTCAGCTGTTCGAAAACGCTGCCAGAATGTGCTCAAAAGAGAAACTCAGAGATCCCAAGGATAGTGCAAAGTTGATATGACAATTGACCAGAAAGCACTATAAGGGGTGTGCACACTATAAGGCGTCCATAGGCCCCACAACATAGATATCTTATATACACTAGATAGCGCATCTAGTTATTCTGCAATTCAAAATTTGAAGCCGTGATTGCAGTCTCAGGTCGTTCCCATGAAATGAGAAGATTTGTATGTTTTCTATTTCTTAAACAGGCAACTTAAACATTAAGTTAACCCTATTCCAAATACATTTTTAAACTATTCAAATGATGAAAGTTATTGTTATTTTTAAGCATTTATTAGCAAGTGGGAACGACCAACATGGCCGCCATCTATTCAAATGGGGGTAACCGCTGAAATATTCTTGGCTTCAATTTTACTAATAGAGATGCACTATCTAGTGTATATAAGATATCTATGCCCCACAACAACCCTTTATCGGGCATGGTCTGTATTATACTTTTATAATCTGTATATACTACAGAATTTTAATTGATTACTTTAGTATGCTGTTTACATTTCCAGAAATATAATTTTACCACACATACTAACGGAACATGTAAAGTACTAAAGATCTTTATCTGATATACAAACTCCAGCCGAAGGCGAGATGCGAATGTTTTATCGTGCTTATAAAACGACCCATCTTATGAGGCGAAGTAATTTAATTTAAAAATAAACATGCATTGTCAAAGCAGAGAAAATCAAAGCTGAAGTTTATGAAATCAGGACAAATCTTTATGTAATTTACAAACATTGATTAAATATTTCTTTCTTTTGTATTTTCCTCATGAATTATAAATGAGTTTTATAATGACAAATAGCATACAGACTTTACAGTCAGTATAAACTATAGTCTAGACTGCAGAAAATGTATAAAATGTATAAGTTGCTTACTGAAATTGCAGACTTGGCATATAATATGCAGACTATATAGTATATTGAATAAACAGGACTATATCGATCGTTAGAAAATATAATGCATGAGCCTTCAATTTCCTTAATTTAAAATCATCAAATATGTTCATGCTAAAGCAGCACATACAGCGCTTTTTCTAGAACAAATCACAATCGCTAAAATATTTGTGTTGCATGATTGAAATTTATAAGCTTTGCAGCGCTATTTATAGAACTACATTTAACTACTTTGTCTTTGTTTACTACATTGATATATTGTTTGATCAGATGCTTATGCATATGCTTGGGTTGAAGGGCTTAATATTCAAGACAAAATAACAATAACTAAGTATGTCTTAGACTTATTTAATAATTTAATCAGGTTTTGATATAAATGCAGTAAGATTTGCCCGTTGTCAGAGCCTGTGACCATGACATTAGCTGCCATTGTTATTTAATATAAAGATTAAAGAACTATAGTATCTTTTTGCATTCCTGTGCTCCGGAGCAAAATTTCCATTTTACAGTTACAACAAAATGGCAATATAAGATGCGAGTTGTTTATACTTATACAACCCTTATAGGTAGTATACGGTATTGAGTTATTTTTAATAAAATGTGTAAGCTAATTTATATTAAAACTATCATGACCACAGGCGCTTTTTTATATTCTGTATCACTCTGTTTCTTTGTTAGATAATATAAGCACAAAAACAAGGTTAAAATTGACTGCATCTTTGACTTTGATCGACCACAAGATCGAACAAGATCGACCCATTCTATATACAACATCGTACTGCAACTCCTCTGACACGCCATATTAAAATTGGCGCAGTCAGAGCACGTGTGTTGTTTCATTTGATTTTGTTGCACGGAGGGCGAGAAAGTACTTACACATATTAGCCATTCTTATCTTAAAATTGATATTTATTTTATGATTGTTTCGCTAAATGCTACATAATGTAAATCAGAAAAACATCTGTCGTTGTGAATAAAAATATAAAATCATATTTGAAAAATTTTTAATATATATGCTGGCCGAACGTTATAAAGTACGGAAATAATTTGCAAGCACTCCCCCCAGATTGTTAACACTATACATCTATCCATCCATTGATCCATTGTTGAGTCACGTAATGACGTAATGCTTTGCACCCCATCACAATAGTGCAAACTTGACTTCGTCAACTTTGCACTAAAAACCAGACAACATTCAGCGCCATATCCTAATGCTAATCCTGTTGTTAACGATCAATTGTTTTTTCGAGGTAATTTTATTCCCCTTTGTTTATTACGGGGCAGGCAAGTGCTTACATGTAGCCTGCCATCAATGCTGTGTTTGTGTGCTTAGTGTGAAGAAGAAGGAAAATGATTTTCCTTCGGATGAACGTTGTGAAGTAGAAGGAAAGTGAATTTCGTGATGTACATTCAGTAAGGCTAGACTCTTCAACCTAGATTCTGACATAGTGCTGCGAAGGTATGTCTCAAGTCGGTGTAAAACAGAGATAGATCTTTCACAAGTGCATGTAGTAACTGGGATTGTAGCAAATATTTGCAATGCAGTATATATATTAGGGAAGCTGATTTTGTCTACAAAAGGCAAAACATCAGCTAATTTCGATGGCAACGGGCCCTTATCCATCTGACATCGTTCACTCCACATTTCTAATTCCATACTGAGAAAGCGAGGTTGCTGTAGGTTATCTTTGTACATGTCAAGGAATTGTCGTGAAATAGCGACAGACGCTAAAACACTAATGACTTTAATATAATCATATAGATATTGAATTACGCGCTTGTCTTTGGATAACACAGACCTAGAACATGTCAATGTACAAATATTAGTAATCACTCATACTCGAACTTGATTGGTTAGAATAATTTGCTTAGGGGTAAAATTACATTCGTGCTTTGGACACATTATTATTATATTTTTATGTTTGTATATAGTCTTGAACTGGCTCGCGTTATGGGAGTTACAAATTGTAATTAAGTAAATATATCATTGAAACTATTGCGTGAATCGTCCGTCATTATTCAGAACTTATTCATTGAAAGAACCTCCGCTTACGGTTCTCGATTGTCGTTGAGACGCCAATACACAACGCAAGTTAATAATACGCACAAACGAGAGACGATCGAGATATTGGTGCCGTGACCAGGATGGAGGATCTTAAACGCGCAAAGATAACTCGACGCGCTCAACGAGCCCAAGCAACAAAGACGTGGAATAAAGCAGAAGCGTTAATGAATGACGAGATCAACGAAACCAACATTCAACGACTACAAGTTGTGCTACAGACATTCGACACGAAAATCGAACAATTGAAAAAGCTCGACGAGAATATATCGTGTAAAATCGAGACCGAGAAAGAACTGGAAAGCGAGATCGTGGAAGCAGACGACTATCTAAGTGAGGTAATGGATAAAAGGTACCGAATACAATTTTTTATAAGTGCTAATCAAGCCACTACGGCAAGTCCTAACAACACGCTGTCTGCGGCGCAAAACTATAATCAAGGAGAACAATTGGCCTCTCAAGGTCACACTTACTCGCTGCAATTGAACAATTCGAGTGCGCATAGATTACCTAAGTTAGCCCTGCCGATATTCAATGGGAATCCACTAAAATGGCAAACGTTTTGG